ATGGGTCAAAGGGCCATATCAAGAAGGACCATCGTCAATCTGTAAATGCAGTAATCTCCAATCCGACCTCTACTCAAACACCACAATAACAAGCTGGCTACCAAAGACCTGATATTCCAAGAAGACAATTTACAAGGATCAACATGTCACTATCTCAAGCCCTACAACACCTATTGAAGGCTAATTTGGTAACATTGTACGACCCCCCTTCAAATCCCAATGTTTCATCTCCAAAGTATAACCTGAACGCCAAATGTGTTTACCACTCCAATAGTCCAGACATGACACTGATCATTGTTGGGCATTAAAATGTAGGATCCAATACCTCATTGACAACAAGACCATTGAATTTAATCCTCCTCCAACTCCGAATGTAATCACCGCACCTATGCCAAACCATGGCAAAGATGTCAACGCTATTCAAGATATTGCTTTTGTTTCCTCTGTTAATGACTTAACCACTCCACTGAAGTTTGTAAAAAACAATTTGTTGAAAGCTGGGGTTTTCCCTAGTTGCCTTGAAGATTGTTGTTAATGTGCTGTGCAAATCAATGGTTGTGAATGGCTGAAAAGAGGGGTCCAACATCTAATGGACAGCCATGAGATCCTATTCGAAAGAACTCCATTCGTAAAAAGTTTGACCGAAGTTGTACCTCAAGAAGTTGAAGACATATCCATCATCACTATATCAAAAAAACCTATTAGGATTACTTCAAAGGGTCCTATTAGGATTTCCAATGAACTAAAGATAGCTCCATTGATAATCACCACACTGGGGCCAGTCCCTTATTCTTCCGATAAGGCAGTACCTTAGAATTATGGCGTTGAAGTATACTACCATGGTATTAGACAAGACTCATGGATTGATGAAGATAAGACTGCTGATATTACCAACATTGTTGGCTCTAGCAAGGTGACAAGTATGGGGAGAATATTCTCTTCTAGCATTTCACCTCTAACCACCACAACTAAACTTATTCGCATTACTATTGACAAACCTAATACTGATGTTAGGGGCAAAGAAAAGATGAGCGAGCCTTCCAGGATAGAGGCGCCTTCCAAAGACATTATTACTGAGGAACCCTCTACTCAAGAGATGGAGGAGATTTTGAAGATCATAAGGAAAAGTGATTATAAGATAGTAGAGCAGTTGGGGAAAACCCCCTCAAATATTTTTATTCTATCTTTATTACTTTGTTCTGATGCGCATGCTCAAGCCTTGATGAATTTTTTGAAGAAAGATCATGTTCCTCAAGATACTATGGCTGATCAGTTTGAAAATTGTGTAGCGAGTTTGACTATTGATAATGGATTGGGATTCTCGGATATTGATTTAACCCCAGTCGGAAGAAATCACAACAAAGCTTTGCATGTCTCCATTGAATGCAAAGGAACCACTTTAGCCCATGTATTGGTGGATATTGGGTCCTCTCTGAATTTCCTACCCAAAGGTGCTCTAGATCGATTGGACTGCGAAGGTTTAGTGTTTAAGCCAAGTGACATAATGGTAAGGGCTTTCGGATGGATCAAAAAGGATGGTACATGGAGAGGTTGACCTCCCCATCAAAGTTGGTTCTCAAACTTTCAACTCGACTTTCTATGTAATGGACATTCGTCTTGCCTACTCTTTCCTACTTGGACGCCCCTGGATACATGGGACAGGAGCAGTGACTTCTACACTTCATCAAAAGCTGAAATATCTAGTCAAGGGAAAATCATTACCGTCTGTGGTGAAGAAGAGTTTATGGTTAGCCATCTGAATTCATTTAAGTATATTGAGATGGATGGTGAGTTCATAGAAACTCCTTGTCAAGCCTTCGAAGTGGTTTCTCCCATGGTTGTTGCTGCCAAGGCTACTCCTGAGGTTCCAAAAGTTGTTAAAGATGTGCCTAGGATGGCTTCCCTCAAAGATGCCCGTGTTGTGGTTGAAGACGGAAGTTGTACCATTTGGGGACAACTGCCTGGCATCACTTTCAAATCAAAAAAAGTGGTTTGGGTTTCACTGCCAAAGCTCAAAAGGAGGTCGGATGTGCTCACATAGGAAAACCACCTCTTCTCATCAGTAATCATGAAGTGAATGCTCGTGAAGACTCTAACAACGACTGTGATTTTGATGACTGGATCTACCCGACTTCCAGTGAAGGACTCAACAACGGGCGTGCCAAGGATTTCATTTCCATCTCCTTCAACAACGAGTAATTACCATTTACTGTTTTATCAATTTAAGAATTATGTCTGTAATTTTATTGAAACAACGGCTTTAAGCCATGTGCCATGCCCGGGGCACCATGGTCCATTTGTTAAGGGTTTGTTCATTTTCATATGCCATATGATCATTTAATGAAAAAACATTGGACTCTTTTGCATTCAAATTTTGCGCTCATTGTCTTTCTTTCACTTTATTGCATTTTCAAAATAGACATGTATCTTACACGCACACACACACATTTGCAGATAATCATCCACTTCGGGTCTCATTGACAACGACTCTGCTATTGCCACCTATGACTTTTAACATCCAATATACCAAGTTGAAGACGAAGGCAAGGAAGATTATGAAATACCTAGGGAATTAGCCAGACTGCTGATGCAAGAAGAAAAATCCATTTAACCGCATGAAGAGCCAGTTGAAGTGATCAACCTGGGTACTGAGGTAGATAAGAAAGAGGTCAAGATCAGCGTCAACTTGGAAGACAGTGTCAAAGTTAGATTGATCCAGGTGTTGCATGACTACATTGAGGTGTTTGCTTGGTCATATGAAGATATGTAGGGGCTTAATACTAACATGGTTGTTCATCGTCTACCAACAAAGGAAGATTATCCTCTAGTCAAGCAAAAAGTTCGTTGTATGCGGCCAGACATGTGTGAAAAGATAAAAGCTGAGGTAATGAAGCAATTCAATGCAGGTTTTCTAGCAGTGACGCCATATCCCCAATGGGTGGAAAATGTGGTCCCCATGCCAAAGAAGGATGGAAAGGTCTGTATGTGCGTATACTATAGAGATTAGAATAGGGAAAGCCACAAAGATGATTTCCCACTACCGCATATTGACGTCTTGGTCGATAACACTGCTCAACATAAAGTCTTTTCCTTCATGGATGGCTTCTCTGGCTATAATCAAATCAAAATGGTGAAGAAGTGAAAAACACAAGAAGGGGGGTTGAATTTAAATCTTAAAACATCAATGGAGTAAAGAACACGTTTATTTTTATCTTGGTTCGTTTGAACTCAAACTACTCCAATCCACCCGCCAAGGTGATTTCGCCTCTCTCCAACGAGGACTTAATTCACTAATCAAACTTGATTACAAATCTACTTTGACAACTGTAAAAGTATTCTTGAGTCCAAAACCACAACCCGGTTTTCTTAAGGAAATTCACTAAACAGATAATTGAATATAAGTGTACAAAGATGTTTCTAACAAACAGTATCACTAACAGTGATGTTTTACACAATTTAATATTGAATGTTGAGGATGAAGATTAAAAGCTGCGTTGTTTACTTTTTCACGTGAGCTTTTCTTTATGAGCGTAGTTGTTCATCATTATGAAATATTCTTCTAGTCTACTTTATATAGGCCTTGCAATAGAGACATAAGAAGATACTTTTGGTAAGTCCATAACACGAGTTAATGAGCTTTCCAAATCAGGAGATCATTGTCTATTTGTAGACGTTACTTGTGATCTTGCATTGATGGAATTGTAACGCCTCAGAGCTTCTCATATCAGAGGATGAATATTACCGTTGAAAGTCCTTTACAGCTTGATCAAAACTTTGCACATCAGAGTATCAGAGATTCTATTTCGCAGCGCTGGTGCATTCAGAAGTTCAATCAGAACTTCTTCATATAAGCGTGTCATGCATATTTGACATGTCTGAATCTTTCATTGTCCTCTCAACTTCTGTGCTCGCATAATCAGAACTTCTGGTGATGTTCTGGCAGAACTTCCAATTGCATCAGAACATCTTTTTCACATCAGAACTTCTGGGAACTTCTGGTGATGTTCTGGCAGAACTTCCAGTTGCATTAGAACATCTTTTTCACATCAGAACTTCTTGCATGTAAACATACTTTTATTAGAGAGCATATTTTTTCTTTATCTCATGTGTTTGTTATCATCAAAACTCTTACTAGGATGTAGAACCTAATTATGTTCTAACAAATGGCTCCCAAAGACATGGAGAAAACAACTTTTGTTACACAGTGGGGCATTTTTTGTTACAACGTCATGCCTTTCAGTTTGAAGAATGCAGGGGCAACCTATCAACGAGCTATGGTAGCCCTATTTCATGACATGATCCATCATGAGATAGAAGTCTATATGGATGATATGATTTCAAGGTCGCAAACTGAGGAACAACACCTTGATCATCTTCACAAGTTATTTGAAAGGTTGAAGAAATACAAGTTAAGGTTGAATCCCAACAAATCCACCTTCAGGGTAAGATCTGGGAAACTCTTAGGGTTTGTCGTCAATGGAAAAGGTATTGAGGTAGACCCTGTAAAAGTATAAGCCATACAAGAAATGTCAACTCCCTGTACTGAGAAGGATGTCAGGGCTTTTTAAGTCGGTTCAACTACATTGCTCGATTCATATCTCACTTGACTACTACTTGTGAGCCAATCTTCAAACTCTTAAAGAAAGATCAAGTAGTCAGATGGAACAACACTATCAAATGGAACAAACTCTTTTTACCTCAAAATCTCACACAAAATTGGCATTAAAATCTACCAAAAACATGGCTAAAATAACAACAAACAAATTTAATAAAAGAATTAAAATTTTATTCTAATATTTTTGAATTTTTATCATGTTTATTGTGCAAATAAATAACATGTCAAAATTAATAGAAAAGAAAAAATCTATGTAGCATTAGAAGAAAACTAAAAATAATATAAAAAGGTGGGGGTGTTAGATCAGAAAAGAGAGTGTAGAGTTACTGGCGTGTAGGCCTGGTTCCTTAAGCCCAACAAGAATGGTCCACCAAATTATTGTGTTTCAAATGCTATCAAGTTGCAGAAAAAAACTAACATAACGGGCCCATGAAATTGGAGTATGCAGCTTGATTCTAGAGATCCTCACATTTAATCCAACATCAACAATAGTTCCAATCAGAAAAAAATGGTGCCGTTTTGACTCTGTGGGGTTTGTATTGTCACAACTCTTCAACTTCTCCCTAACACAACTCCCTTTGCAAAACGCGGCAGAAATATCCTTCTCTCTTTCTCCTAGTAGAACACCTCCGCCATGGTGGTATCTCCGACAATTTCCTTCGCGTTTTGTCATTCTCTGTCTTCGTCGTTCAAACTCTCCATCTCTCTCCGACGCAGTCTCACTTCAATCTTCGTTTTCCACATTGTTCGCGTCGCACCTCCATACTCTCTACATCTCACCTTGGTTCAGATCCTCCGTCTGTCGTCTCCGATTGTTTAGGTTTCATCTCACTTCCAACGATGTTAAACACTCACTAACTTCTCCTCAATCATTTGCAGATTTAAACAAACAGTAACAAACTTGTATGGACTATAAAGTAAAGAAGAGCAATGAAGAAGGAAGATTCGATTACCTACCGGAGACCGATCCGGTGCATCTTCAATAGTAGTGACGGAAAATCAAAGAGTTAGGTATGTCTTCGATATTCAAATACTTCTCCAATTTTCGCTCTTTTCGACTTCTTCTTCAATTTTCGCGTCTCTGAATTATTGCGGTGTTGATGATGGTTAGATGTTGAATCAGATGAAGATTAAGGTGGTGATTAAAGAGAGTGTGATGTGAAGATTGAAGATTGGAATTGCAGATTCAAATTGATGATGAAAGTGCAGAATGAAGCGGTTGATGGAGCTTGAAGTGTAGTTATGGAAAAAGTGCATTGATGCGGTTGTAGAGAGAAAGCAGAGGGAAGATTGAAGATCGAGATTTTTGAGTTGCTGGGATGATTGAAGATGCAGAGAGCTGAGATGAAGATGATGTTGAAGATCTTAGAGAAAAATGAAGATTATTGCTGGAGGATGATGAAGAAGATGTTGTAGCAACTTGAAGATTGAAGGTTGATGAGGAATATCTTAACGCGGTTTAGAGAGAGAGGTGAGTTTTTTTCTCTAATTTTCTGTGACTTTTTCTATTGAATAATCTTTAATGAATCTTCTCTGCCGTTCTGTGAATTTTCCCCTCTTTCTTTTCTTCTTCTGAATTCTATTATAATCTGTTATCTCCTCCCAGAAGTTTGTTACGATTCTGTTAAGGAAACGGTTGGTTAACGGGAAGTTTGGGGTTTCTGTTAGGATTCTGTTGACAGTTAGGATAGAAGTTGTTATGGAATTAGTTGGACTGCCGTTTGGAGATGTTAATTGGTTCTGTTTTGAAAGTTATGAGTGGTTAGTTGGTTAGGAATTATGTTATGAAGAATGGGAGAGCTTTTGTTATTTTCTGTTTTTGACAGTTAAGAAGTTAGGAAATTGGAGTTAGTTACGGGTTAGAGAATTGTTAAAATTCTGTTAGAAATTAGATGGGTAGGATTGGAGGTAAAAAGAGAAATAGAGTTAGGATTCTGTTAATTCGGTTTTGATAACTCTGCTGGCTTTTTTCATTGAACAGGGCGGTTTTTCTGGATTGGTTTTGCAGGGGCTTGGTTTATGGCTGAATGCATGGCTTGGTTTTAACTACTGATTGTTTGCATCTATTTCTATTATTAGTGAACTTATTTTGAATTTTGAATTGGATTCTTGGTTTGCAGGGCTGTGGGTTTACGCTTATATATGGATGCAAGGTCCGATTTTTGTAATGAGCAACATGAAACATGGTGTAAAGCTGGAATAGTTTGAAGAGAAATGGTACTTCAAGACTTAGAATCTTAGCAAGACAAAACATAGGCATAAACTTGTAATGATTTTGTAAAATATTCGATGTAATCTTCTTTTCCAAATTGATCCTTATGCCTCTAAGTTCCTTGTAAGGACTATAGTTTTTGTATTTCCTGTATGAATGATAAATATGAATATAGTTGGAATCAAATTTGAATAATGAAGGAAACTTTGTCTTGAAGCCTTTGCATGGATAAATCTTTGTATGAAACATGGTGAAAACCTTGGAACCAAGCTTATATACCTTTCATATCTCCACACTAATTGAATCCAAATTGAGCACTCATGTGACATGCTTGCACTTTTAAGAACCCTAATTCAAGTTTGAATCTTCAATTCACAATGCCTTGCCTTTGACGCACCATTTGATTGAAGAAAACCCTGATTGATGAAGGACATATAAGTGAAACTTTAATCCCGAGCTCAAACTTTAAGATGCTTCATTGCTTGATAAAGACGCAGTGCATCAAACCCTGGTATTGACTTGTAACGCAGGTAATTAGGAGAAGTCTTCAAATGAAATTCAAGCATGAGGTATTGAAGTAAAATTGATCAGGGTAAGCACATAATCAACCTTAATCCAATGAACCTCAACTGAAGCATAGTAGACAAAAACCTCTGATCTTCAATCAAACATAGAGAAATAAACTTTAATAGTCTCGTAGCCTGGTGAAGGATGAAGTGTGTAATGACCATAATCACAAACCTTAATTCCACAATTCACCACTTGCAGAAAGAACCAAATGAATCAGCTTTATTGGATGAAACCTCAAATCAATAGGAACCCCAATTTACAAGATTATTGATCCCATGTTAAGTTTTATCAATTAATGAATGAATGATGTGTTAGATGACCTAATGGGGGTTATGTACGTAAGAAAAATGCGAGAATGCATAAGCAAGATAAAAGTAAAGGGTAGGACAAATTTGGGGTATTACAGCTGCCCCTATTTAATCGTCTTAAACCTGAAAGTACGATTGGCGCGTGCCTTTCGGAAGTTCGAGGTAGAAGATGATTAAATACCAATGCCAAAAATTTGTTCTGGGAGAAAGTTTGAGTATTTTTTTTTTCGTGATATCTGTTGGGGGAATAATTTTTCTTGTTTTTTAGTGAAAATACGGAGATTGGACTTGTAAGATGGCGTGATGCCAATACAAGACAAAGGTTGGTACAAACAGATGGCGAATAAGGTCTATGGGCGACCTACGATCCTAAGGTGAAACATGAGAGTGATTTTCCGAAGAACCTAGCCTAAGGGAGATCTCGGGTTCGACAATGATATATGGGAAGAACCTAGCCAAGAGATGGCCTCAGGTTCTAAGATGATTTGAGGAAGAAACTAGCCAACGGGCGATCTCAGGTTCGACAATGATCTATGGGAAGAACCTAGCCAAGAGGCGATCTTAGGTTCTAAGGTGATCTATGGGAAGAACCTAGCCTACGGGCGATCTTAGGTTCTAAGATGATCTATGGGAAGAACCTAGCCTACGGGCGATCTCAGAGTCTAAGATGATCTTAGGAAGAACCTAGCCTACGGGAGATCTCAGGTTCGACAATGATCTAAGGAAGAACCTAGCCAATGGGCGATCTAAGGTTCGACGATGATCTATAGGAAGAACCTAGCCAAGAGGCAATCTCAGATTCTAAGATGATCTTAGGAAGAACCTAGCCTACGGGCGATCTCAGGTTCGACGATGATCTAAGGAAGAACCTAGCCTACGTGCGACCTACCAGGGAATCCAGATCTATGATCGATCTAAGATCCTAAGGTAAGACATATGGTCGGTCTACAAAAAACTAGGTCTACGGGCGACCCACAGGGAATCTAGATCTATGGTCGATCTAAGATCCTAAGGTAAGACCTACGGTCGGTATACCAAAACCTAAGTCTACGGGCGACCTACCAGGGAATCTAGATCTATGATCGATCTAAGATCCTAAGGTAAGACCTATGGTCGGTCTACTAAAAACTAGGTCTACGGGCGACCCACAGGGAATCTAGATCTACGGTCGATCTAAGATCCTAAGGTAAGACCTACGGTCGGTCTACCAAAAACTAGGTCTACGGGCGACCCACAGGAAATCTAGATCTACGGTCGATCTAAGATCCTAAGGTAAGACCTACGGTCGGTCTACCAAAACCTAAGTCTACAGGCGACCTACCAATGAATCTAGATCTATGGTCGATCTAAGATCCTAAGGTAAGACCTACGGTCGGTCTACCAAAAACTAGGTTTACGGTCGATCTACAAGGGAATCTAGATCTACGATCAATATAAGATCCTAAGGTAAGACCTACGGTCGGTCTACCAAAAACTAGGTGTACAGTCAACCTACCAGGGAATCTAGATCTATGGTCGATCTAAGATCCTAAGGTAAGACCTACGGTCGGTCTACCAAAAACTAGGTCTACGATCGACCTACAAGGAAATCTAGATCTATGGTCGATCTAAGATCCTAAGGTAAGACCTACGGCCGGTCTACCAAAAACTAGGTCTACGGACGACCTACAATTCTAAGAAGGTGGTGGTATTGGTCATGACACGATAATTGGAGATACGAGAATGACCAAGTTTATTGCATCGAATTTGTTGGGAATTGTGAAGCACAGATAGACACAGACAAATGTTTGGGTAACTTACACAGATGAGTGTTTAGGAAAATGACACATACGAGTGTTTGGATCAATATGGACGGGTATTTAGAAAAGATACAGACGAGTACCAAGGAAATTTAACACGGACGAGTGTTTGGGAGGCTGACATAGATGAGTTTTTATAAGTTGACGCAGACGAGTGTTTGGAGACCGACACAGACGAGTACTGGGTTCAGACTTGGTGTATTGATTTTGCTGGGAATTGAAAAGGTGAAGGTCATCGACTTGGGATTTTGGGAATGATATCCTCTTGTAGGGATGTATTGTTGTCCTTGGATGATTCAGGTCTTTCGTGCAAGGTACCTGATCTGGCTTATGCTTCGTATGCATGTTTGAATTTCTTTTGCCGCAAAGATCCATTCTGATGGATCGGCTACGCGCCTTTGAGGATGCAATGGTATGCAATGATAACTATATGCAATGCAAAGAAATATACTTCATGGGGGTAAGCGAAGGCTTATTGGGAACTGTTGCTCATCACCAGGAATGCCAATACATGTCGGCGCTGGAAACCTGCAGTACCAAAGATCACTGGGGATACTGGTAAGACTCCGTACTTGGGAGATCATGATACCGAAGATTATTGATGACTCTGCTGAAGATTGAATTACCGACGAAGCGAGTTTACCGGTATGCCACTAAATTCTAAACTGTGTTGTTGGGGAAGAGATAATCTGGCCTGACTTCCTACATACCGAACTGCTGAGAGGATGGTAGAACTGAATATGTCGAAGAATGGTTATTGAACACCATGTGAATCTCCTCGAAT